ATTCCAAGAAGTCCACTTCGGGATTCTTGATGACGTTTGCAGGGGGAGCAGTCTCTTGGCAGTCTAAGTTACAGAAGTGTATTGCTCTATCAACCACAGAAGCAGAATACATAGCAGTTACTGAAGCTTGTAAGGAAACTTTATGGATGAAAAAGTTTCTACAGGAATTGGGCTTGAAACAGGAAGGATATACTGTTTACTGTGACAATCAGAACGACATTCACCTCTCCAAGAATTCAACATACCAATTCAAGCATATTGATGTGAGATATCACTGGATTCGTGATGTGCTTGAGACGAAAGAATTACAATTGGAAAATGTGCATACCAATGAGAATGGTTCAGATATGTTGACAAAGTCTTTACCTAAAGAGAAGCTTGAAGAATGTAGGCGAAGAGCGGGCTTGGTACAGCCCACCATATGAGCTGGAGGGAGAGAATTATTGGGTCCAGTCCATATGTGGGCTTGGACAATTGGGCCTATTGAGCCCAAATCAGCAAACGAAAGAAATTAAAAAGAGAGAGAGAAGGTGAGGAAAATAGATCAGAGTGCGCGTGCAGAGAAAAGAGGAGAGAGAAATAGAGAGAGAAAGTAAGATTTCTGAGTTTTCTGCTTGACGATCGGTGGTCAAACATTGTCAGTTTCGGTCCAAATTTTATGTGGAGAATCCTTGCAGCAAACTCTACAATCCTAACGGTGTTGATCTACAGTTTACCCTCTCTAAGGTACTTTCTTGTGATATCCACTTTGTAAGACCTAGAATTCTCTTTCGAGGAGATCCATCTATGTGATGAAGATATGTTATTCTTGAGCCAAGATCTATGTTCTTGATGTTATTCTGATCCTCTTATTATTCTAGAGAAGACCTACGGTCCCGTGGTTTTTCTTACATTGGGTTTTCCCAACGGCTGTTGACGGGGCCGTTGCTGCAGTGGCGCCACCCGCCGCCGGACCTGCGCAGCTCCGAGATCCCGCCTGAGGCCATCAGTCTGAACTCGATACCGAAGAGGGAGAAGGACGGGGCCGGGTCTCCGTCGCCGTCCTCCTTTTGGAATTCCTCATCATCCTCTTCCCCAGAAAGTGGCAGTCACCGTAGTGTCGGCGGGGAGGTCCAAAACGTCACGTTCTCTTAGAAAAAATGTGACGTCTCTCTCTCTCTCTCTCTCTCTCTCTCCAGATGAGTGTCACGTTCTTCTCTTTCCCAGTCTGCATGTACGTAGCAAATGGGCAAAGAGACATAGAAAACACTGCCAAAGTTTGTTTTCTGTGAACAAATAAAACAAAAACAGTAGGAATCCTCCCAATTCTCAATGCAGCAGTTTTGGTTTGCCTCGTGCTTTTGTTTTCGTTTCATGTTTTTCGCCTTTTGTTTCTTGTTTTCCTGCAGATCAAATGTGATGAAAGCAATTAACTGGGCACATTCTACCGTAACAAGGATTCTGCAAGACACATATTTCCAGGATATATTATTGTAGCGGTAGCACTTGCCGAAATATATTGTTCTCGAGATAAATCCAACTCACCGGTTAACAGCTGTTGTCAGAGTTGTAAATATTTGTGTATGATATAAAGAAAGATGAACTTAGAAGACGGTTTCATATGGAAAGAATCATATTATATATATTAGATTTGATCCTGGCAAACGATTGAACGAATCGAATTATGTATATTGAGTTCGATTCATAGTTTAAGATTGAATATAATCTAATCAAATATAAGCTTACTGACAAATTTGACTCAAATTCATTGTTATTTCATGTGGACAAAATACGATCTTTTAAATAAAAATTTAAAGACAGGATTAAATTTTGGATATAATTAATATCTGACATGATATATGTTAATATTGATTAATTAGATTCGATGAACTTCAAATAATAAAAATATGATTAAGGAGATTGATGTTGGATTATGCCCAACAGTTAGTTACCAAATCTGTCTTTTGAACCGACCAGCGTTAATTATGGACATGGGTCAATTTGTTGGCAGAATCCAATGATGAGCATGGGTTAGAGCATGACTAAATCTGTGACCAAAAGGGAGAAGAAGAGAGTGTGTCACGGGAATCATTAGCTTTTCTTCGTCTTGAAATGGGAAACAATGAAACGAATGGCTATACTATAACTAATGTAAGGAATGATCATGCTGTCATGGATAAAATTATAATCGAGATATTTGATATAATACTTGAGGGTTGATTGTTGGTTTGACAACCTCATTTTGTTTGTTCTGTGGTGATGGATCACTTTAGACCTTTTGTCATGTAATCATCTAGAGCATACGAAGTTTATATTTATTATTTATATTGACTATGCTTTCTTAAATGGTTCTTGTGAATCTTGTGAATTTCGAGTAAAATATTTTATCTTTTGTAAGTTGTCAAGGGATCATAAATTTTTTTTGAAAAGATTGACCTTTTAAGAATGAGCAAAATCGTTTTTTGGTATTGTGATATCATGAGAAAGCAATTAACTTAGAGATCTCGGAGTTCTACTGCTGGAGAGATTTGGTCTCACGTGAATGCTGAATAGGATGCAGACCAGAATGCAGTACGATCTCAAGTTGTGATCTTTGTAAGTACTGTGAGGCAAGTGAGGATAGTCTCTCCAAACTTGTCTTGGAGTCGGAAGTCGTAGCTCTCATGCTGACCTACCCATGCATAATTGTCAAGCTAACCCTAATCTTTTCATCAATCTTCCAACATTACAAAGAAAGCCAATATGCTGGTTGGTGGCACACAGCTGCAAA